ATGAAATGTGTTTCATCTGTTACAATAACGTTGATTGGTCCAATTGCTTATTGTGGTGATTCAATTTGTTATTGAAATATTGAATAAATTGCCCCCTTTTGACAAGGATAAATTATTCAATCGATAATTATATTGATGACTGATTTGATCGGTTATTGTAATGTTGACTGATTTGATCGGTTATTGTAATGTTGACTGATTTGATCGGTTATTGTAATGTTGAATGATTTGATCGGTTATTGTAATGTTGACTGATTGGATCGGTTATTGTAATGTTGACTGATTTGATCGGTTATTGTAATGTTGACTGATTTGATCGGTTATTGTAATGTTGAATGATTTGATCGGTTATTGTAATGTTGACTGATTTGATCGGTTATTGTAATATTGAATGATTTGCTCGGTTATTGTAATGTTGACTGATTTGATCGGTTATTGTAATATTGAATGATTTGCTCGGTTATTGTAATGTTGACGGATTTGATCGGTTATTGTAATATTGAATGATTTGCTCGGTTATTGTAATGTTGACTGATTTGATCGGTTATTGTAATATTGAATGATTTGCTCGGTTATTGTAATGTTGACTGATTTGATCGATTATTGTAATGTTGACTGATTTGGTCGGCTATTGTAATGTTGAATGATTTATTTAGTTTTAATAAATTTTGATAATGCTGAAGGATCTACTCGCGTATTGTAATGATTTAATTGGATATTATGTTGAATAACCCATTATAATAAAATGGAATAATTTAGTCGGTTATTGTAATGTTGAATTATCTACCACTAAATTATCTACTATCCTGATATTCAATATGTTAACCCGTTACTGCAATCTTGAATGCTTTAAGCTGATATTTCAACGATTCCAGTAGTGCTTACAGAATAACAGCCGGTAAGATTGGTTCTGCTCACACTTTCAGATATTGTAGGGATTCAATTCAAATTTGATTAAATGTAACGTTCTAGATAATAAAACTGAATGAATGGATAAGAGATATATCGTCTTGCGAATGTCAGACATCTTTTAAAATCGACATGGAGTGAAGTCGTTCTTTCTGTGTTTTCGAGAAATATAATTGATATGTTCTATATTTAGTTAATATACTGTAAGATTAAATTTATATCTTTTACTATGTGAAGCCTTTACGTAACGTGTAGTTGTTTTTATGTATAAGTTTATGTAGATCTCTAGTTTAAACTACTCTCGGTTCCGTGTGTTTTATGTATTTCCGTTACCGTGTCTTATTCAGATGTCGTTTGTGGTTAAACTTCAACAAAGTGAATTTTGATACATGTAATTGTCGGCAAAATAAATGAAAAAAAAATCGATTGTCGCTTATATTTTAGCAAATTTAAGCACAGAACTTGCCGCGACAACGGAAATGTTGTGAATCGGATTTACACTAAGTGAATCATTTTACTTGTCAGATCAATTTCACTGACATTGAGGACCTCACTGTCTTGTGATGGGGACATGGGAAAGTCATGAGACATGATATGATTTTAAGTACGAGTTCAGATACACGTAACCTCCAAATGACCTCAGTGTGACCTCTGGAAGAAGGGCGTTTTAGCGTCACATCACTTGTAGAGCATACTGTATATATGTATATATATACTTCACTATTTTCCTTCCGGTTATCTACTATATATTTGTATATAAGTCCCTCACTGGAAAACGCGTGGTGGGGGATGGGTTGGGTTGGGGGCGGAGGTTCTTATTTTAATCCCACCATTTGATGATGGTTGGCTATTCAAACAATTTTTGTTTTCGCTTTAGAATTACTCGAAGGATCTTTCTCAAATTGCATATATAGGTTACCCATGGTCTCTAGTTGTGCCCATGTGATTTTGGGACTGATCAGAAAAACAAAATGGCCGAAAGACGGCCATATTAGATTTTGACTTTGCAAGTTTGTTTTCGCTATTTCTTGAGAACTACCCCATAGATCTTTCTAAACTTCCATATATAGGTTCCTTTTGGTCCCTAGTTATTGCAATCTAATTTAGGGATTAATCAGAAAAACACAATGGCCGACAGGTGGCCATCTTTAATTTTTAATTTGAAAGTTTGTTATCGCTATTTCTTAAGAGGAACTTCATAGATCTTTGTTAAATTTCATAAGTCGGTTCTCATTGGTTCCTAGTTGTTCCAGTTTATTTTGGGTCTGTGATCGCTATTTCTTGACTCCAGTTCGGAACTACAACATAGATCTTCTTCAAATTTCATGTGTTTGCTTTCTTTGATCCCTTGTTGTGCCTGTTTGAGACTGATCAGACAAACAAAATGGCCAACAAGCAGCCATTTTGGATTTTGCTAGTCACTATCATCGCTATTTCTGCAAAGGAATGTTGAAATGTCTTATCATTAAAAGCAAAAACATAGAGGGGAAGAGAAAAAAGGGAAAAGATCCAACTTTAAAAGAGCATATAAAGATCAAACAATGGTGGGCGCCGAGATCCCTATGAGATCTCTTTTTTATTGTCTTTCCGTCCTTCCGTCTTTACGTTTTTTTCCGTTTGTCTCGAATCTTACACTTGAACTTCATACCTTGGGTAAAGCTTCACTCTGTTGAGGCAATGTTGCAATTATGGTATCAAACATATCTCATTCTGACCTACATTTTGACCTTTGACTTACCCAAAGTTCTACATTATGGACCTTTGAGTTACCACATAGTTAACAAAAATGTCTGCACTATCTCTACACTACTAGTTTGTGGAACATGATACATTGAGTACGGCTTCACCTTGGTGAAACAGTGTGTCAATTAAATAGGGGGACTGTAGTTCACAAAAGTATGTAGTTATAGTGCATTATATTTAATATCGCAAATGAGACGTTTTTCATCTGATAAATTTATGAACAATAAAATCAATTTGGATGGTGGGAACAAGCAACAACACAATATAGTGCTTTCGAAGAAGAGAAGTTATCAATATCAAAATTCATATTTTTTATGGTTCATGTACCTCTTATTTTAACCAGTTTTACGCGGTCGCCTTCTAGGTTTCAATAGTCTAGACACCTAGCATCACTGACGAGTCCTAGAAGGACGAAACAGCTGTATGATGTATTATAACTGATGAGTCCTAGAAGGACGAAACAGGTGTACGAGGTAGCATCACTGACGTGTCCTAGAAGGACGAAACAGCTATATGATGTAGCATCACCGATTGAGTCCTAGAAAGAGGAAACAGTTGTATGATTTAGCATCTCCCAGAAGTCCTGGAATGACGAAACAGCTGTATGATGTAGCATCACTGATGAGTCCTAGAAGGACGAAAAAGTTGTATGATGTAGCATAACTGATGAGTCCTGGAAGGACGAAACAACTGTATGATGTAGCATCACTGATGAGTCCTGGAAGGATGAAATAGCTGTATGATGTATTTTCACTGACGAGTCCTAGAAGGACGAAACAACTTTATGATGTAGTATCACTTATGAGTCCTAGAAGGACGAAACAGTTGTATGGCGCAGTTTCAATTTGTAATTTGCTTATATTGTGTCTAATTCTAAATTGGTTTTTAAAGTTAGAGTTCACTTGTTTTTTTTCTGTATAACTCTTAATGTTCTATAACCGTTGAACTGTGTGAAAAAAGGCTGCAGTTAAAAAACACAATTTGATAAAATTGAAGCCATCAATCACACGGAAATCATGTCATTTGAAAAAACTCTTCTCTTGTCCCTAATTTGCTTATTGGTCCTTAGTTTTGTTATGACTCATTTGTGAATTTTGGAATTCGTCCACTACAAGCATACATAGTCAGTCTGATTAAACTATAAAATGCATTTTAGCCATACAGCGATATTTCTCAGTGTTGCAGTACCTAAATTTCCATTGTAGTCTTGTTTGATATCCGGGCACTTTGGAATGTGAAAGAGGATCTCGCCGTACGCTTACTGTAGTGTTGACACTGTCGTCCTTCATTTAAGCGTACACAAACATTGCACGGCGCCTCCTGTCCTAACAAGTTGTAATCGGATTTGGGAGAAAATCGGTTCTTTTTTTCTTCGAATCTCCCATTCTTGAACCCATCAGTAACGATGTTAAAGCTTAAGTTATTTGCTATTTTAATTCCACAGCAAATTGATTGCTTCAGAAAATAGCCTTCCGTTGTTAATGTTGATCTCTATTGATTGATTTTACCATTCGATTTCCTGGTTTAAACATGTAAAAGTTGGAAGAGGACTGCTGCAATGATCATATATAAAAAAGGAACGTTCGGGGGAAAATCTTATTGGTGTTTGTTTAGTACAGAGAACTTACATACTTGTAAAACGTTTCAAAGATCTTGACAAAATGTAAAACACCCAGATGATTGCATAAGCACAGTCATTAACAGTCTAGTTCACCAAGCCGCTTTATTACTTCGTTATTATGTTGGTATAACTTGTGCAGACAAGAGTCTGATCGAACGAGACTAACCCATTAATTTATCGTGGTCATTAAATGATTAAATTCGATCTCGATTCTGCCGTGTGGTTTAAAATTCGAAACGGAGTGTTCCGTAACCTTAACGCATTTTTTTCCGAATCCGTCTAAAATGCAACGCTTGTAATCACATGCGTACGATCTTGCACGTACTCTGCTACCCTACCTGTTTTTTTCATGTACAGACATACTTTTCTCCAGAATTCTCGAAAGGCTGTTCGGAATGTGTGTCACATTGTCAGAAAAGCAAGTTGGCATATGATACAACAATATTTTTTCAAAGGCGGAATGTCGCATATATTTATAAAAGTGTCAGTTTTCTCGCTATAAATCAAGTTGTCGCCCATAGTTAAACGATTGTCAGCCAAAAGTGTATGCCCTAATGCTACAATACAAATGTATGCATATGAAGAAATCAGGTTGGAATAATTTTATGGTTTGATGATGATGATGATGATGATGATGATGATGATGATGATGATGATGATGATGATGATGATGATGATGATGACGAGGAGTAGGAGGATGTGTATATATTTTTTGTTTCTATTCCAGTGCCGTGTGGAGGGTGAAGGAACTGGGCGGATGTATATAGGGATTATAAAGAAGAGGATTTACACTGTAAGATTTTTTTTATCTTTCTTGGTTCCTCCAGACTTTCTTTATAGTAGGTGTATTTATCTATATATTGTTGTTTTCTGGTAGACAATAGTTGTCTCATAAATGTATGATCGTTTCTCTTCACGGAAAAAATCTATTTTAAGAACATCACCATGAGCTTGAATTGGAGATCGATACACACATTTCGTAAACAGAATGCGTTTTATTGTGTCTAATGTCTAATTACAATTTCTTCTATCTTTAACACTTGTCTTGGGTCTCATCTAAACGTGACATTTGTTGGAAAAGAGTCTTGCATTTTCAAAAGAGTCGTCATTTATAGAATCTTCACACAGGAGAAATAACAAAAAAGTTTGCCACAAATGTTGTTTTAATCGGCATTTGATATCTTGATGACAAAAAAAATATTTTATATCTCCTGACTGTTCTCACTGAACATTAGTCTGCAGAAAAAGCGCGTAACAGTTTAACCCCCGTGGTGACTTTGTTTCAAGACGTGCTTTGATATGCAAGTTCTCCGTTAATACCTCAAGTGTTATGTTGTGATATATAAACATGTTTATAGCTGTCTAAGATAAGATACAGTCGACCCTAATGGATTTCTGTACAGACAATGTACATTCAGCGCATGACTGGTGAGAAAAAGTGCATTTTATCGGCACGCATGCATTTCTCTCACTGTGTGTAAACTGTAACGCACTGAATGACGAGCTTACATTTCCCGGTTGCTGTGTAGGAACCTTAGTAGAAAAGATATATATCGTGAATAACAGTATTTAATACTATATTTGTTACATGTACCGATAACAATGATGCGAATAGTTTGGTTTGAGTGTTTCCGAATTCCCGATACGGGGAAATGATTGGATTTTCTCCGGAGAAGAATTCATTTCACTGAAATTTTAAAAGAACCAGACCCACTCCTCGACCGATATTATATTATATCAAAAAACAATTCATGATTTTCTATTTTCCTTGTGTAGCAAAAGTTCTGTCTAACCCTGCAATACCGCAACTTTAAAGTAAATCGCTACCAATCTAACGTAATAAATAGTTTTTACAAAGAATTCGAAACGACTCAGTGCTAATTCATAATTATGCGGGAAGTCCTGCCCTCTGACGCATGCGCAAAAAAATGTAAATAAATCTGCCGTCTTCCAACATGGCAGAAAGCGTGCGAGTGAAGCGGGGAAGAAAACGTGTTTTGACGGACTCTGAGGCGAAGAAAAAGGAAGATGGTTGCTTCATACTCTGTATCGCTCTCTGTTTGGCTCTCGTGTAGTATCACTCTAAAATTATATTCATGAATACTCTTACCGAATATTTGCTTTAGATAGATCCATTTCACGATGTTCTATATGTTTGTTACCATATCGTAGCCCCCATTTGAGGGCCTCTTTGCAATTGATCGTATTTTTTCTCTTAATCTGCACGTTTTTGTGTCATATCTAAACATTGAAAGATATGATCAATACATACGTTAGATGATTTCCATACAGGATATATAGAATATTGATTGCATTTATCGGTAAAATCTCTTTACAAGCGATGTCACATAGACATACTACTCACCTCTTCCTCCATTTTTGTTTTGGTTCTAACCGCGGCTGAACGTATCACGTGACATTTCCTAATCAATATTCATATTCTGGTGTTGATTAATGAAACTAATTCCGGCACCGATATCTCCGGTACCCTTTCAATTTCATTTTCAAAACTTTATACAAGTCTTTATTTATATATTATCTATTAGTATACAACATTTCCAGTCAATGAAATATGAAAAAAAATATCCATAACGGAGTGGGTCTGGCTTTTTAACTTTGAGACGTTACAGAAAGGAAGCTTAGGTGTTTTAAATCGATCTCCACAGCAACAACAAAGCGTGTTTCAAACATGTGATTTACATTTATATTGTTTAAATCGTTAATGCATACGACATCGCGCGTATGCAACGAAACATCATCATGAGTGCTAGTGAACCAGGAAAAGACTTAACCAGAGTCTCACATACGTTTGACGGCTATATATATCTTGCAGAACGTCTGGTAGCGTACTGGTAACGCCTCCACAAAAGGCGATTGGGGTTCGATTTGAGTGTCTGACATGGCATGATATTCTTACCTACCCAATCAAATGAGTTTTCCACGGTAAAGAGTACTAGGAGTACTGCCGTCGCGTGCTTCATGAAATTATTATTTCGCATTTGTTATATATATATATATATATATATATATATAACAAGGTTGCAGTTTACAGTACTTCTTATGAATTTTGTTTAGTGGGCTTCCCATCTGATTAACCCAATTCTTTTCTAATTCACAGTAAAGTGTTTTCTGTTCATAATGTGTATTTACTTCCACTTGATCAGAACAGCAAAGATAAACACCAATAAATATAACATTTCCCACTCAAAGATATTCTCTTGTAAGGTTTGTTAAGATGACCAAACTTCCCTCGATCGTGTCGATTTATCAATGTTTTTATATAAAAGGAGGAGTGCCAATTTGGGCCTTCTGGCGGCCATGACCGATATTTTTTATTTCTTGTGTAGGAATTCCTTGGGGTTAGGCGGTCATGATATGACATAAAATTAAGGTCAGATCTGAGCCATTCATTAGTTATGGGGGGGTAAAGTGGGGGGTAAAATTCATAAACAGCTCCATTATGACAGACCTACATTATATTTTTGGATTTTTTCTTCTTAATTTTCATGTAATCCGATGTTTAAATCCGGATTTAGATAGGAGAAGCTGACCTAACTTTACTTTCATTCTATGACGAAAAGGACACGCGGACGCACGTTGAATTTGAACCGGATTATTTTTCAAATCTTTTTCAGGCATTCTTAATGATATCGTGTCACGCAACAGATATTGCATTCGTTTTATAAAGAAATACACGACAACTTCACTCAATGCTTATCTTGGTTTCTCAAATCAATAACAAATGAATGAATTGAATTGACATCATATAAATCATGATAATGGAATATTGTTGTATGACGTATACATTTTACATGTAGATACGAAATGTAATTCTCAGTATATAGAGGGGTCGATATGCGTTTTCAATTTCTCACAATTGCCTCGCGCCATTAAAAATAACGAAGTCATGCAGGTGTTATATGATCAACCCCTAGGTAGGCGTTAATTACAACGGTTTCTCAATACTCTCCTTAAAGTTATGAAATTAATAATACATATTAATTTGGCCGTCTCGACTCGTCTAGACAGCAAGGTGCCTCTTGAGCCAGAGACAAGCTAAGACAAGCCAGTTTTCAATACTACTGCCTGGTAGAGATTTTCTGCTTTTGACCACAACAGGTGTAAGCTATTGGACACCAATTGTGGTCATCTTTGGGGCCAGAGGCCCTATACAAGAGAGATTTGTGTTTCAGTTGTTTAAAGAAACAAGACCGGCTTGTTGAAATAGTTAGATGTCGAATCTCAACAAGGATATAATATGTTTTACATCGCTGCATTATACATATAAAATATGATGATTGAATGGCCAACACATAGGTCTGATTAGGATATAGTAGGATGATGACCAATTCAAATTGATTTTTTTAAGATTTGTCGCACTTCAAAAATACATTCTAATATACTATAACAAGGTATCATATGTTCGAACCCTCCATTCCTGATATACAGACACGTAGCGTAGGTGCTGACGTTCCCCAGGGTTCAAATATAACAACAATTTTAGACCACGGAGTCGATCTCTAAAATGCTGTAGTAGGTCACCGAAGCAGTCGACTCCATCTTTATTTCATCCCCTTGTCACTTCCTGTATCTACTTTCATTCTTTACTTTAGCTATTCAACTTACTTTTCTATCTTTTCTCGTCTACTAAAATTTCATTTCCAGTTGATACTATCTCCATCAATAATATGGTCATTGTAAGTATCCTTTAACATGATACATTTACAAGATTTGTATAACGGATGTCGTCGACGAAGTTGGAGACGCTTACTCTACTGGAACATGATCTTATTCTCTTTGTACTTTTTTACAGGTCTGCGTGTGACTTTTCCATCATTCATCCTTTGCCCGTAAGGGAGGTATTTGCAATTTAATTTTGTTTTGCCGAAATGTACTTTATTCTCCTAAACATGTATGAAAGACAATGGCAGTTGTTAATATTAGTGTATTGTAACTATTTATCTAATGAATGAACCGTGTCAATTCTAAAAATATCGATATCCCGGTCTTCCATAATTAAAATGAATAGACCAAAATAATTGGGTATTAATAAAATTTCATTGATTTTTTAGAATGATTTTTCAGTTCATTTTTTTTTAAAATCTAACAAATTTAACCTCAATTTCTGCGAATGATATTAAATTAATCCTAGACAAGCTTGCTCATGTTTTACTGAAATTGAAGTGCTTTAGGCAGTCACAGTCTAGCCTTGAATAGTGGTGAATCTGCACTCCACTTCTGACAGCACCTGTTGTTGCCAATGCGTGCATATTGTAGTGACGTGTGACATAATTAGCCATGAAAGTGACTATAATTATCCCAGGCACGTGCTACACTAATTGCCCGCGCTACGTAATAATTACATATGCATATCTTTCTGACATGACAAGTGGTATATTTGGAGATTGTTAAATATATATATATGAGAAGACATAGATAGATCTCGCTATATTTACAGCCAGCGCAGGGAACTTGTTTATGTTTACGATACACAACGTTGTCCTTGGTTACAAAGATCTGTTATTTTATGAGAGTAAATAGTATTTGTTCTGTTCGTATCTTGGATCATTGTAAAACATGTATACATGCACAAGCATGAACGCCACGTAAATAAATTTCAACTGAATCCGTTTTTTTTTAATATTGAATGAAAACATTTGCACCACAGTCTTATTTCTTTGAGAGTGGCCATTGTGTTTGTGTTACCCTAGTTTTATTCTTTGATGTTTATTGAAAAAGTAAAAAAAAAAACTGAATGAAAGATAGATCAAATAATACATTGTTTGCACTTTA